GGGGTCAGTTACTTCTGGGACACCCTGTACCAGTAGGACAATGCGATCCAGCGAAAATAAAATTTAACTTTAGGCATAAATAAAGTTGCCTCTCTTGAAAGCAGTATAAATGCGCAGAAAAGCATTGCCAACAAATACGAGAGAGGCCGAAATAGCCATTCCTGGCTCAAAGACCCGGTAGCCATCTGTTGGTTTATGGATTGCTTGCTTGGAAAATTCTGCTGGAGCAGTCGCCTTAATGAATCAGAATTTAAGTTGCAAAAATTCCATCACAAAATTCAGAAGAGCAGTTGGTGAGTATGCGTAAACTATCGTTAAATTCCAATCGGACCAGTACATTTGTATGGGAACGGGATACAAGTTAAAACATGTTCGTCTTTTCATACAAGTGCATCATGGGAATAGGTGGGGCAGGGACCATAAGAGACGGTTGGTTATGTGGCGGTGAGGGTTTGACGGAACGGTCCGTGAGAGGGGGGGGGCAGATAGGAGAGAGAAAGCGCGGACGTGTGCATGCGGTTAAGCTACCGTTGGCCATGCCAGGCATGGAGCTGACAAATGTTCTTTTGTGCGTCCATAGCTAGTCCGCCCATCTGTCTATACTAGTTGCTATCAAATAGGAACTTCAAGTTCGAGGTACATCTCAATAACAATCCCTTAAGGGCATTCACTAGCATTTCCTTCTCCTGCTGATTGAAGGCAGTTAACCCATAGAGGTGCTTCGCTGTTGGTTTGTTATACATTTTACGCATAAAGGTGATTCTGATAGTATACTGGTCATCAGGGTCTTAAACTCCGTGAAAATCAGGTCAATAAAGTAGAATTAAGACTGACGCTAGCTAAGTAGAGCGAGAGAAGTGGGAAAATGTCATCAAGTCCAGCAGCTGTTGAACCATCGACCTTTCGAAGATAATTGTTGACTGTAGGCCCAGATACCTCATAGAAGGTAATTGGAAATTCAGAAAAATTGGCTTCACTGGTAGCAAAGAAGACGTTTGATTTAGTCTGCATCAACCGGGGTCAGTGCGGTCCGTTGGCCTGCGAGTTGTCAAAGCTTTTTATGAATATTTGCAAATGAATGTGAAAAATACGCAAGAGGAAAGGGATCCAGCGAATTCCGTCCTAGTTAGGGCGTTACCTTTTTTCCAGTTTGCCACGCCTTCCATCTATGCAGCAGATTTACTTCAACGCCGCGGAAGCTGTGACTTGCATAAGGGATGTGGCTTAGTCAACGCCCGATTCCGTTGTAGCTGCCGAGGACGTCGAGGTTGGCACACACCTAAGGGCGTACTTCACCTGTAAAGGTCTCCGGACGTAAAATCGAACGGGGCGCTTGTTAGTCATCGCAGGCACGCACACGTATAGGTTCGAGGAAGAATATAGGGCAGGAAGCATAAAGTTTACTATTTTAAAGCCAGGCGTAAGTAGAAAAGGGGAAATGGATATGGGTACAAAATAAGACCAAGATTATATACAAACGATTCGTTTGGAGTGAGGGGTGGTCACAGAATATCGGATAGATGCCGATGGGGAGTGCAGCGCTGTGGGCAGCTGCGGGTGAGGGCCATGGGGGTGCTGCCGGTAATGGGATTGCGATACGAGACGAAATGGTAACGGGGGAAGCGATGTCAGCGAAAGGAATGGAAAGGAACACCGGCATCTTCACCCCCAAATGACTACGCCACCCTCATCCGAAATCCGCGCAAAAGTGGCCCTGGCACATTCAAATACCCATGGTCCAGGCTGGTTCGTTACACAATGAAAGGGAAAGACACCAGTACCAGGCGCGTATTTTCTACGGTTGCCTGATGGCGTTAAATGCAGCTAGTCTCGAACGCGGTGCCTATTAAGTATATGGGCGCCTGTGATTGGCTACCATCAAGGCTGAATGCGTGCCCCTTCCATTCAGTAGAAAGTTGTGATCACCTTACTCCGAGTACCGTCTGTGCCACAGGCAGAAGACTTGAGACTACAAAGTTTAGGGTAAACGGCAGTGATTCTTTAATCAAGCGGAGGTGGCGAAACACGATCTAATGACGTCAAGTTGAATGACCTATTCACGGCTGTTTCATATTTAATACACTAATGGTTCAAATAGAAAACATCTTAGGACGATCGATCTGGATGAGTATCTAAACCGCGGGGAATATTGCCAGGATATATGGACGGACGCAGTGCGAAGGAGGGAGTTGGAGTTGCACAGATGAGCGAATTTTGGTTATAGCGAAACCTCATCAAGCCTTGTTAAGTTTACACATCATGAAAAATTAGCCAGTCCTTAGACAAATGAGGACATGGGAGAGTGAATGCGGTTATCTGTCTCACCGCCTGCCACCACGGCAAAGCGAAACGGATCACGTGATGCAACTGCTGACATGGTTTTGACGTTCTCCTCCGTAGGAGAGGAGATGCCAATCTTCGCTCGAATTGACAGCTCGACTGTCGCGATCGGCCCCATGGAGTAGGCTCAGCACCGCCGCGTGGCCCGACTTATAGTGAGGCAGACTTATGCGGTACGCACCCTACTCCCTCCATTTCCACCTACCCAGCTCCGAAGTCAAAACACCGTCAAGAATATCGGAGGTGGACTTGGGTGCGGTGGTCAGAGAGAGAGAGAGATACGCTTTATTTTGAAAATATCATTCCTAAGTTCTCAGCAAAAAACCTCCTCGATTCACCGTGAATAAAAAAGTTACAGAAATAACACAACACGGGAATCAGATGTAATGCATGCTGGCCAAAGACTGCAACTGTCGACATCGTGGAGGAATGTCAAAAAATGGAGGGCAACTTAGACTTCCTTCCAATTATTTATTAGGTTTGGCAGATTTGTTCAATTTAGTTGACCTTATTTTGAAAAATACTCGCGGCGCATAACAGGGAAGGCCTTTACGCAGCCAACGCTCTACCAATTGAACTACAAACGGCGTTTATAGTTCAATTGGTAGTGTTGGCTGCGTAAAATTCCGTACAATTTGCGCTAGTGCCGTGCGCTGATGACCTCATTGTTGTAGTTAAAATAAACAAGGAGGGGTAAAATGTGTAAATATATATATATATAAGCAAATTTACAGGCGAATGGAAGGAAGAAAACATTCGCGGGTAAATTTCAAAAGCCCGCTTCGGGTTGTCGGTCTATGCTTGTCACGCACGACCTGGCCCCAGCACGGTACACCAGGTCTTCACAGAAAATGAAACTTGAGTCTCATGTTCCGGTGAACATGTATGTCAGTCCGAATTCGGAGAATCCGCAGGCGAAGTGTCCC